TTTTGCGAGGAGGGGGCAACGAAGCCCCCACTCAGCCCCACGCCTGCTCCAGGGGCCACCTAACAGGTAGGAAACACACCTGAGCTCCTGGGAACGGCTCCACCGTCGCTCTCCCCACACACAGACCGGGGCGGCCACCGCAAACCTGCCCCGCTCCCAGCACCACACTCAGCCCCAGGAACACAGCTCCTTCCAGCTCTGCTCTCTGGGGCCTTGTGACTATTATTAATTAAGGGGCCAAGCCTGGTTCCAATTAAGCAATCAGCAGATGGGTCAGCACCTCACAAGTCCCAGCTGTGCTCAGCACCGGGAGCTGTGGACCTCCCCGAAGCACCTGGCTGCAGGGCTGGCACCCGGAGGGACGGGCAGGGGGGACCCTGAAAACCCCAAACCACCCTGGGACCGGCTGAGTGAGAGGAACATCAGTGCATCCCCCCTCTAACCGAGCCAGGCCTTCCCACAAAAAAAAAAAACCCAAAACCCAGCCCCCAAGCAGCCCCCCAAATCTAGGGCAGCTCCCCTGTGAGATGGGGAAGCTGCTGCAGCCCAACCTTCGGGCACGGCCTTGGCATCGCTGGGGGAAAGCGGCTCTGGGTGCTTTGAACGCCATGACCCTCCCTCCTCTGGGACGAGAAGAAACAGCCCACACTGCAATGCTCCGGGATGTTGTAAATAAATATATTTTAATGATTCTTCTTCCATTCCAGTTCATTCTTTTATACATTTATTTATAAAACAGTAGTAAAATTTTTTAATCAGAGCACAGTGCATTAAAAAAAAGAAAAATAAAACAAACAAAAAACCCCAAAAGATTAAAAAATAATAATAATAATAATCCACAATGGTTTACTCACGGCCGGGGGAAGACGCCACGTCTCGCGCTGAGCAGCGGACGGTCCTCTGCCCCCCGGTGCCAGGAGCAGGGCGCAGAGCGGGCACGCACCCCAGCCAGCCCTGCACGTGCCATGTACCACCAGCGAGGGCCCAGCAGAACCATTTTATAGCCACGATAATCCCAAGCGACCAGGGATTTCGTATGCCCGCCCTGAAGCACCCACGCGGACCCTTTGGTGTCCGCAGATCCACAGATCACCCACACCTATAGGTACTCAGCACAGCATATGGGGCGCTGCCGCCCTGCCAGGGGGGATTATTCTCTTTACAGGCACTAACGGC